GCTAAGGGACAATCCACTGTCGAAGCACAAAGAAGCACTTTTTGCTAGGGATGCAGAGGCTCAGCAAGCTAGACTAAACACCATTTTAACCCATGCAGCCACACTGCAAGGGAGGTCTTTTATGTTTCCTGGTGTTAGGCTTTAACGTTTCAACTGTACAGAACATAATTTAGTAGCAAGAAATACAAAGAAAATGCAGATATCAGTCAGAACCAGTGGGACTTCAACAAACAATATCCAACAAAAGGTGCAGGTATTACGACATCAAGAAACTAACAACAAAATGAACTCTCACCCACAAAGAGAAAATACACTGCTCTCTCTAAAAAAAATCTGGGCTCAAGTTAGCAATGGCCATTGCACCCATATGCACCTTATAAAACATACTGAAGGTATAAACAGAGGACCAGATCACGACCTCACAGACTTGCAAAACCAAGGCCTGATTATGTAAGGCCAAAAAAGTGCTTAAAAGATAAGGTCACCTTTTAGACAAAAATAATAAATGCACATTTTTTGCAGGTAAAAAAAAACGTGCATTTATTATTTTTGTCTACAGGAGCCTGCAAAGCATTGCACCAGCGATCAGTAGATAGCTGATGACATGCAGGTCTCCTGCAGACCTGTCAGAATATCTGCTTGCCCGTACGGGATGTAAGAGCAAACTGATATTCTGACAGCAAGCTTCAATGAACTACCACGGCACTTCACAGTGTCGTTGTAGTTCATTGAAAACTACAAGCTGGCAGCCGCTAAGGCTGTCGAGACTTGCAGTTCATTCATTCACGGAAGTGCGTGAATGAATGATGTGGTCGTGTGGGCAGAGCCCCGCTGTTTTCAAATTTGACAAATAGTACAGGGAGACTGCTTCCTGTACTGTCAGGGGGAGGAGGGGCGGCAGGCAACAGCTATGGGAAAATGTTACATGTTCCACCCTAAAAACAGGTGGAACATGTAACATGTTCCCAAAGGTGAACTTATCCTTTAATGATTTAGTAGAACGAGCTAGTACAAGAAAGTGGTTCTTTATGCCTTCTATCATAAACCTGAAATATATATAATATATGGTCTATTCAGACCTGTGTACGTTCCTATATACATGTAAGGATTAAAGATTTGCCAAAGAGCATTGAAACAAAACATCTAAGGCCAAAACCTGACCTGTAATAGTATTGAGATCTAAACATTGATCCACATCTTGATGCAGATAGGAAAGGATCCTACTTGCCAATAAAGTCAAAATAGGAAAGGTCAAATGCGATGGAAGATTGTACAAAGAGTAGATTAGTGAGTATGAGGCATAGCAGGATTAACAGCTTTATACAGACCTCTGTCCCTAAGCACCTGAGCATCTAAGTCAGCGACTTGGAAGCAGGATGGAAGACTGGGCTTTGAAACAGGAGATCTGTATTATCCAAAAGGTACAAGGGTTTGTCTGTTAGCAGGCAAACCAGATCTGCAAAATATGCCCTTCAAGGCCAACCTAGAGCCCGAAGAATTACCAGAATTCCTGCAAAGACATCTGGGTAGAAGACATACAAGGAGGATATGTACAGATCATAGTAAATCTGTCCCATGGCACAATGAAAAGTGTGTGTCGCTACAGTCTGGGGATCACCTGGCCTCAAGATGAACTTGTTCAGTTTGGTACTGAGTCAACAGGCTCGTAGATCCACATCCAGAGATCCCAAACTGGAGCAAATCTGTAAGAACACCTCAAGATGAAAGGGCCATTCCCCAGGATCCACATCTGACAGCTGAGATAATCCTTCTGCCAATTATTCAAACCTGTAGAACGTAGACAGATTAACTCCTGTGCCACTAATGTGCTCTTTTTGCCTCTTTGGTGATTCACATATGCAACTGCTGTGGCACGGACTGCATCCGCATGAGATGATCCCACAGATGATTCAGATGATGATACAGTGGGGAAGACACAACCAGATGGCTCAAAACATTGATGGAAAGGCATGTCTACTCTTTAGACCACAGACTATAAACAGACAGGGTTCTGAAAACTCCACATCCAGCGGAAAAGATTTGCAATTGTCAAAAACAAACATTTAAGGGGAAGATTTTCCACATGGAGGAAAAGAGTCATCAGTCACTACAAAACGGACACTCTGGAGTGAGAACTGAGACAAATATCCCCATCCACAGACATAGGAGATCTGTTCTACTTGCACAAGATTTGCTGCTGGAAGATCTAAGTGTGAAAATAAGCATGTAAACTGCTTAATAATGTCATGCATAGGTGGGTATTCAAGACGATCGCTCACAAAAGGAAACTCAGCTTTTTTTTTAGAAGTAGACCAGCACTTAAGCCACAATATTCTGAGCAAAACTCCTGCAGAAACAGATAACTGAGACACATACAGTATACTTGAGGTCAAAGAGGAGTCACGGAAAAGTTTAAGAGGCTGAACTATTTGGTCTGTCAAGGCCATAAAAACATGGGGCACCTGTTCTGATTCAAGGTCCTGTTGTAAAAGTCTAGCGCACTCAGTGATGGTCTGAGAGACAAATGAGTATAACTATAACAGACCTCATGAGAGTTCCAGTGATGATATTAATAAAATGGACAATCAACTCTATCTTACAGTCTTTTGGTGATTTAAAACATGGAGGTTCATCCAAAGGGATCAATGTTGCCTTATGTAAATGTAGAGGACTACTCCTCCATGATAGAAGGATATTTGACAAAAAAAAACATTTTGGTAACACAAATGTCTCATTAGGATGCTTCCATTCTTTGTAAAAGATGTAATCAAATAATGAATGGGACGAAATATTTTAGCATCTTGCTTCTTATTATGAAAAACAAAAGATAACTGAAGGTTCAGAGGAGGAAGCAGAAAAATCCTCCGTTTTGAGAGTTTCACAAATTGAATCAGAAATTAAATTAATTCATTCTCATAAAAAAGGGGAAAAAGGCAAACATCATTCTCATCCACCACAAGGGAAACAACAGAATCGTCATCCAAATCCCCAGCAATAGGGAAGCCTGGCACATTGAGAACTTAACCTTTAGACAGGTGACCATTTTCTAAACACTTTGCGGTCATAACAGCAAACAGCTATAACTGAAGTTAGGATATGCAGCATGGTGAGGAAGGAACGGCAGAAACCCCAAAGAGGGTATCAGATAGGATAGCAGGAGCAGACTCAGCTGAGACTGCAGTACAGTACACAGTGAGATTTTTTGATTAGCATCTATTAAAATGTGACAAATAGTGCACACAGAAGAGTCAAGTGAAGATGGGTCAGATAGCACAGGACACCCAGACGTCTTTTTTAGTGTCAGCTGTGTCACCTAAAAATGACAGTAATAACAGCCCCACAGAAAGTCTCACGGATCTATAAATCCAGGGCCCTGTAGCTTGCATAAGAAACACTGTAACAAATAGACTGGTACCACCTGGCATATGTGTTGCAGTAAAGAAAAGCACTAAGGTGTACCACTATCTGAGGGACAACGGTGCTTGGTAAGACTTGATCCATATCAAAAAAATAGACCCATGTTGGCTGGACAGGTGAGACTGTGAGGATCATATTCCAACCCATCTGTCAACTAGCTTCTAGATAGAAGAAATAGTCCCATAAACATACTCCAGAAGCTGAAGAAAGCTAGTCTTTACTCCTCAATGCTAGTTGAAAAAATGACAGTCGAGGGATTAAGCCACCTAAGAGAAGTGTCTTCCTAGATGCCTGTTCAGATTTTTTGCGCCTAGCGTACTATTCCTGGGTAAAAGCATCTTCAGTTAGCACTAAGTCTCTCAATGAACACAAGAGAAAATAAAAGGGTAAGAACAGCAACACTACTCCACGTGAGAATGTAGCTCCACTCAGTTCTTGTGCAGTGCTCCTGCCATGCTGGAGGAAATACTAAAACTGGTGATTTATAGGGAGGAACCTCTTTTTAATGAAATGAGCTCTACTAATTTCTTGCAAATTGTGGTTGGATTTTCCTGTAAATAATTGCGATCCTGACAAACAATTTGTGAAACTATAAATAATAGGCATGTAGAACACAAAAAGGCTATCATATACTAAATATTATCATTACAGGTATTGACCACATACATTTTCCCAAAACACAATAATTTTAGTTTAGAGGGCCTTGGGAAAGCATTAGGGAGAAGCTATGAGAGCTAATATAAGTATGGGAGTTGCCAAAGAAAATCAGAAGGTCAGAAATCACATAAATCCTGGCAGATGCTATCCTGTCAATTCCCGACCTCATATACTTTCTTCTATCGTCTTAGAGTGCAGTGTGTGAGCTTAGGTAGTTAAAAGGCAGCGACTATGAGATTTCAGATGACTTTTGGCCCCTTAACACTCCAGCTAAAATGTCAAGCTCAGACAACATAAACAAAGATAAATAAGGTGGACATATAAGCCAATGCCACTATAAAAATCAAGATGGAATATCTGGATTCTTGTAAAAGCTCATTTGCGGTTCTCTTAATGCAATAACTCAACCTTATTCTTCCACAAACCCCTGTCCTAAACTTTCTAAAATAAATTAACTGCAAAACTCTTACAGAGAGTTCATGTCCATTTCTTGTATGCTATATACAGAGCCACCAATACACAAGCGAAAGCCCCACATGCGACAGATCAGGTCATTGCTTTAGATATCCTGACCTGTTTTCAGTTTGGGCTGTCAGCAAATGAAAAGTGTTGGATATCTCAATGTGCCCATGTATGGGCAGGTTTATCTTGTTAAGCATATGGAAAAAACACTGAAATGAAGGTCTTGCAGTTAGTTACCATGTGGCTGCATGGGTGGGCTGTGCCAAGCCCATCCATGTCAATGCAATAACACTCATTTACTTCATTTTCCATATTCTCCATTTTAAAATTACATTAAATCTCACACTTACACAAATAAGGCTTCTACGTATAAAACTCTGTATGTACATTGTCTGACTAAGGAATACATATGAATAAAGCAGTATCAAATCACTTTTATAAAGTCACTTAAAGTCCATTATCCCTTACACAGGATCCTCAGATAGATCAAGAGACTGAACCTTGAATTTTAGCCTCCTGAATTTTTGTTGGGTAATCTTCAGTCTCCTTTTTACATTGTGAAGGGTGCTTAAGGCTTCATCAAGCCGTTTCTTCAGAGCCTTTGGGCTGTCCATAATACAATAGTCGTGTTCCAAGGTAACCCGCTTTTCAACTATGTTTTGTGTGGGCATCTGTTCTGGGAGTGATGGAGGTGGGAAAGAAAAGTGCTCATCACCATCCTCAAACACTGGAACTGGGTTCTGCAATTTTCTGTCCTGCAAGGAATAAGCACATAAACATTAAAATGTAAACACTAACAGCAAACATCTCCTATCTGAGCCCTTTTGAGCTGGTAAATAATTGAAAGTGTTTTGTAATATCTGTTTAATAAGTGAATAAATTATCCATTAGTCTCCCAGTGTGTTACTAACTTCCTGTGCTCTTTCAAGTGGGGGGTTTTGTAGTTCTAACAACCTTCTTGTCCTAGGGTGACAATGCTTCTCCACTGTAGACACAGTATTCTGAGTGAGCATTGTCACCCTAGGAAAGGAAGCCTGTTTCTGTCAAGATCAAACGTAAAAATAAAGAGAAATAACCCTGAAAAAACAACTAATACAGCCACCACATCTAATGATTGGCAATTATATTACAGTTTTGTCCTTTGTTTAGATACAGCATTACTGGTTATGAGACCATTCTAAAGCTATAGACATTATTTTCATCTAATATATACAGTGTACATATCCTTATGTCTTTTTCTGACAGAAGTGTAATAAATGTTACATATTTAATAAGACCATGTAAGTACTGTAATTACCTTTCTTGATTTCCCAGGAAAAGAAAAAACTGTTGGCACAGCATCTACCCTCAATCGAATTGTCTGGCCAGTTCGGTCAAAACAGTATTCTTCAAAGTGATCTGAGCACAGCACTGCCTTGGAGGAAGGTTTAAATGTATCGCGCCTCATATTCATAACCCATTTTTTCAGAATCTCTGGTCGTCCATGTGGAAATCTGCAAACATAGTCATCTTTTGAAATCATTCTGAAATCATCAGTGAAATCATTTTCATGTCACTGATAGCAGAACTATCAAATGGGATTTCATTTTTGAGATTCATACTAGTACATATACACCGCGTTCCAAATTATTATGCAAATTCTATTTAAGTGTCACAAAGATCAAATATTTTGTTTTTCAGTTTAACTCATGAATGGCATTGTGTGTCAGGGCTCTTTTGATCACTTAAAACAAACTCCGACACCTGTAATAATTAGATTGGCCGGTGAGCCCAATTTAAGGAAAAACTACTAAAGGAGGGTGTTCCACATTATTAAGCAGAGCACCATTTTCAAGCAATATGGGGAAGAAAAAGGATCTCTCTGCTGCCGAAAAGAGTGAAATAGTTCAATGCCTTGGACGAGGTATGAAAACATTAGATATTTCACGAAAACTTAAGCGTGATCATCACACTATTAAGAGATTTGTGTCTGATTCAGAGCACAGACGGGTTCGTGAAGATAAAGGCACATTGAGGAAGATTTCTGCCAGATCCATGCATCGGATCAAGAGAGCAGCTGCTAAAATACCATTACATAGCAGCAAACAGATATTTGAAGCTGCTGGTGTCTCTGGAGTCCCACGGACATCAAGGTGTAGAGTCCTCCAGAGTCTTGCAACTGTGCATAAACCTTCTATTCAGCCACCAATAACCAATGCTCACAAGCAGAAACGGCTGCATTGGGCAGAAAAATACATGAAGACTAATTTTCAAACAGTCCTGTTCACTGATGAGTGTAGTGCAACCCTGGATGGTCCAGATGGATGGACTAGTGGATGGATGGTGGATGGCCACCCTGTTCCAACAAGGCTGCGACGTCAGCAAGGCGGTGGTGGAGTCATGTTTTGGGCCGGAATCATGGGAACAGAGCTGGTCGTCCCCTTTAGGGTCCCCGAAGGTGTAAAGATGACCTCTACAAAGTATGTGGAGTTTATGACTGACCACTTTCTTCCCTGGTACAGAAGGAAGAACTATGCTTTCCGTAATAAAATCATCTTCATGCATGACAATGCACCATCTCATGCTGCAAAGAATACCTCTGCATCAATGACTGCTATGGGGATAAAAAGGAGAAAAAGTCATGGTGTGGCCTCCATCCTCCCCTGACCTCAATCCTATTGAGAACCTTTGGAGCATCCTCAAGCAAAAGATCTATGAGGGTGGGAGGAAGTTTACATCCAAACAGCAGCTCTGGGAGGCTATTCTGACATCTTGCAAACAAATTCAAGCAGAAACTGTCCAAAAACTCACAAGTTCAATGGATGCAAGACTTGTGAAGCTGCCATCAAATAAGGGGTCCTATGTTAAAATGTAACGTGACCTGTTAAAATGTTTTAAAAAGTTAAAATGTTGTTAAAAGTTTGATTGAAATAGCTTTTGATTTCAGTAAATATGCTGCAAACACAACAAATGACAATTTTCAGTTCTTTACAACATCTAAAGTGTTTTGAAACTTACTGTGCGTAATAATTTGGAACAGTGCATTGTAAGTTTTTTATGTTTAAAAAAAATCCTGTTATCATTAGGAGGTTTGTTCAATAAAATTTGAATTGTACTCTTAATAGTTGATAACATGAGAATTATGCTGACTGTTATTTACATCAATTATTTAGGTAAATTAGAAAAATATCATTTGCATAATAATTTGGAACACGGTGTAAGCATGTTAGAGGCAGATTTAGAGGGTGGTCATTTGTAAGTGTCAGTCAGGAGAGACCACGACTAAGAGTTGCTGTTTTAGATTTAAATCCAGGAGGGATTCTAGTTATATCCAATAGTGATCCAAGACACACCACCATCAGAATGGATAAATAAAACTTGGACATCAGTTTATTTATACCTTGTAGCTATAACCAATGCTTCTTCACACATGCAACATGCATTTGATAATAAGTGTTTATTGCAGAATCCCAGTTATGCTCCCCCTGCACAGCACACACAACATAAAGTGCCAGATAGTATACAGGTAAAACTCAAAAAATTAGAATATGGTGCTAAAGTTCATTTATTTCAGTAATGCAACTTAAAAGGTGAAACTAATATATGAGATAGACTCATTACATGCAAAGCAAGATAGTTCAAACATAACATGATTTGTCATAAGTGTGATGATTATGGCTTACAGCTCATGAAAACCCCAAATCCACAATCTCAGAAAATTAGAATATTGTGAAAAGGTGCAATATTCTAGGCTCAAAGTGTCCCACTCTAATCAGCTAATTAAGCCATAACACCTGCAAAGGGTTCCTGAGCCTTTAAATGGTCTCTCAGTCTAGTTCAGTAGGAATCACAATCATGGGAAAGACTGCTGACCTGACAGTTGTGCAGAAAACCATCATTGACACCCTCCATAAGGAGGGAAAGCCTCAAAAAGGTAATTGCAAAAGAAGTTGGATGTTCCCAAAGTGCTGTATCAAAGCACATTAATAGGAAGTTATGTGGAAGGGAAAAGTGTGGAAGAAAAAGGTGCACAAGCAGCAGGGATGACCTCAGCCTGGAGAGGATTGTCAGGAAAAAGGCCATTCAAAAGTGTTGGGGACTTTCACAAGGAGTGGACTGAGGTTGGAGTCAGTGCATCAAGAGCCACCACACACAGACGGATCCTGGACATGGGCTTCAAATGTCGTAATCCTCTTGTCAAGCCGCTCTTGAACAACAAACAATGTCAGAAGCGTCTTACCTGGGCTAAAGAAAAACAGACCTGGTCTGTTGCTCATTGGTCCAAACTCCTCTTTTCTGATGAGGGCAATTTGTGCATCTCATTTGGAAACCAAGGACCCAGAGTATGGAGAAAGAATGGAGAGGCACACACTGCAAGATGCTTGAAGTCCAGTGTGAAGTTTCCACAGTCTGTGTTGATTTGGGGAGCCATGTCATCTGCTGGTGTTGGTCCACTGCACTTCATTAAGTCCAGGGTCAACGCAGCCGTCTACCAGGAGATTTTGGAGCACTTCATGCTTCCTTCCGCAGACAAGCTTTATGGGGATGCTGACTTCATTTTACAGCAGGACTTGGCACCTGGCTATACTGCCAAAAGCACCAAAACCTGGTTCAATGACTGTGGGATTACTGTGCTTGATTGGTCAGCAAACTCGCCTGACCTGAACCCCATAGAGAATCTATGGGGCATTGCCAAGAGAAATATGAGAGACATGAGACCAAACAATGCAGAAGAGCTGAAGGCCACTATTGATGCATCCTAGTCTTCCATAACATCTCAGCAGTGCCACAGGCTGATAGCTTCCATGCCATGCCGCATTGAGGCAGTAATTGCTCCAAAAGGGGCCCAAACCAAGTACTGAGTACATATGCATGGTTATACTTTTCAGAGGTCCAATATTGTTCTATGTACAATCCTTGTTTTATTGATTGCATGTAATATTCTAATTTTCTGAGATTGTGGATTTGGGGTTTTCATGAGCTGTAAGCCATATTATCACAATTATGACAAATCACGGCTTGAACTATCTTGCTTTGCATGTAATGAGTCTATCTCATATATTAGTTTCACCTTTTAAGTTGCATTACTGAAATAAATGAACTTTTGCACGATATTCTAATTTTTCGAGTTTCACCTGTATTAGTTTGCCAAGCTCCTTCTTTGCCATGCTGCAGGATCCTTCTGAAAAAATCCTGACTTCTAGGATATGGAGCGTATAAGGCCACTCTCCGAAACTTGGATCCTATGAGACTCATAATCAGGCAAAAGCACGGTCAGGGAGGTCAGTAACAGTAAAACACATATTAAGCGATTGTACTATTGTGTCTACAACATTTCTATTAAATTCCACAGTACAGCAAATACAATCTTTTGACTTTAGAGTAGAAAAGATTTAGGACTCCTCTTTTTTGCTGTGCCTTGCAGGGAGATTTCACTTTATTGCCTGTCCTGGAGACACAACATGAATGAGAGAAAATCACCTCTTGAACAGCTGTCACTGAAAGAGATGTCACTATTGGAAAACGACTACTTGCCTTTGGTGACAACTGTAAAATTTTTGATTTTCCATAACATTCTCTCACGGTAAAAGGTCACCAGAACAAAAAGGTAATATTATCAGCAAGGACACAGACAGTAATGAAAAACTGCTGGGGTTTTACCACTTCATCCAAAACTAAAAAAAAATAAATAAATTTGATTGTCTTCCACCAAAGTATGTGTGTTTGTGGCCGTAAGACTACATCAGAAGAACATCAGACTATGAATTTATTTTGCTTGGTTTAATGTACTCTGTTGAAATAAGTAAAAACTAATTTTAAAGGAAAAATCGCAAACCCACTCTGTAAAGCAAACTCTGGTGCCTGAACATTCCTTTATTGCTCCCCAACCACTCACATCCCCACCACCACTCAGTAAAAATCCCTGTGCTTCCAGGTGTAGGTGAGTATTTGTTAGACCCCTTCTTCTCCCCAATACTGCATTTGGGTCCTGAGCAGAGAAAGACAATTCTTCAAAGCTGTCATGTGGGTTCAGGGGAACATGGCAAAGAGTATCCATCACTAACAATACTGGGTATTCTCAGGAATTGCCAAGGTGACTGTGGAGGAATGGAGCTACAGTTGCAAGAAAAAGTATGTGAACCCCTTGGGATTACGTGGAGTTTTGCATGAATTGGGCATAAAATGTGCTCTGAACGTCATCTAAGTCACAACAATAGAAGAACACAGTCTGCTGAACATAATACTACACAAACATTAGATGTTGCCATGGTTTAATTGCACATAATATGTAAACATTCACAGTGCAGGGAGGAACAAGTATGTGAACCTTTGGACTTAATAACTGGTTGACCCTCCTTTGGCAGCAATAACCTCAACCAAACGTTTCCTGTAGTTGCAGATCAGACCTGCACAACGATTTGGAGTAATTTTGAACCACTCCTCTTCACAAAACTGTTTCAGTGTAGCAATATTCTTTTGATGTCTGGTGTGAATCGCTCTCTTAAGGTCATGCCACAACATTTCAATCGGGTTGAGGTCAGGACTCTGACTGGGCCACTCCAGAAGGCGTATTCTGTGCTGTTGCAGCCATTGTTTTGTTGAATTACTTGTATGCTTTGGGTCATTGTCCTGTTGCATCACCCATTCTCTGCGGAGCTTCAGTTGGCGGACAGATGGTCATACGTTTTCCTGCAAAATGTCTTGATAAACTCTGGAATTCATTTTCCCATCAATGACAACAATCCGTCCAGGCCCTGAGGCAGCAAAGCAGCCCCAAACCATGATGTTCCCTCCGCCATGTTTTACAGTGGGGATGAGGTTTTGATGTTGGTGTGCTGTGCCTTTTTTTCTCCACACATAGTGTTGTGTGTTCTTCCCAAACAACTCAATCTTGGTTTCATCTGTCCACAGTATATTTTGCCAGTAGTGCTGTGGAACATCCAGGTGTTCTTTTGCAAACTTCAAACGTGCTGCAATATTCTTTTTGGACAGCAATGGCTTCCTCCGTGGTGTCCTCCCATGTACTCCATTCTTGTTTAATGTTTTCCTTATTGTAGATGTGTCAACAAAAATGTTAGCATGTGCCAGAGATTTCTGTAGGTCTTTAGCTGACACTCTTGGATTCTTTTTTACCTCATGCAGCATTCTGCTCTGTGCTCTTGCAGTCATTTTTACAGGATGACCACGCCTAGGGAGAGTAGCAACAGTGCTAAACTTTCTCCATTTGTAGACAGTCTGTCTTACCGTGGACACATGAACATCAAGGCTTTTGGAGATACTTTTGTAACCCTTTCCAGCTTCATGCAAGTCAACAATTCTTGATCGTAGGTCTTCTGAGAGCTCTTTTCTGAGAGGCATGGTTCACATCAGACAGTGCTTCTTGAAGCCAGTAAACCCAAAACAGGTGTGTGTTTTTTAAGGGCAGGACAGCTGTCAGCAACACATCCAATATCATCACACTGATTGGAGTCAAGGTTGGCTCACTCCTGGCTCCAATTAGCTCTGGGAGAAGTCATTAAGCTAGGGCCTCACATACTTTTTCCTCCCTGCACTGTGAATGTTTACATGTTATGTGCAATTAAACCATGGCAACATCTAATGTTTGTGTAGTATTATGTTCAGCAGACTGTGTTCTTCTATTGTTGTGACTTAGATGACGTTCAGAGCACATTTTATGCCCAATTCATGCAAAACTCCACGTAATCCCAAGGGGTTCACATACTTTTTCTTGCAACTGTATAGTTATTTGTAGGCACCAAGAAGTGTCTAGTACAGAGTAGCAGTTGTTTTGTTTTTTCCTTTTTAACGCAATGTAAGCAAATTCAATAAACAAATACAAGAAGTCTGAATTTCTCTCATTCTTACCGGTGAAAAGACTTTCCGCATCCACGTGTTTGTCGGCTTGTGCAGTTAATGGCAGCACATGCGGGCATTGTTAGATGCCATACAAAAAACCCTGAAATAGTATTTAGAAATAAAAATGAGATGTATGCAACACAGATCTGCACTTAGAAAAAAACTACACAGAAAAGATCTACGCCATGCTCTAACAAAGTCCACAACTCAGTTCACAGTATAAAATGGAAGCCATTAAGAAAATAAAGAAACTATCCTGAAGAATAAAAATTTTATCACACAACAGTGGGCAGTATCAGAACCCTGGCAAAAGAATTTAAAAGGACAACCATTTTTCTTAAACTCTCTGTTGAAAGAAATCTACAATGAAAATGTTCTCTTATTGCATCCCGATATAGTTATACTTTATAATACTTTGTGAAGGAAATACTATGAATCCTTTTGATTATTCTACTTGGATTTTATTAGGGATGCACCGAAATTTCGGTGGCCGAAACATATCGGCCGAAAATATTTTACAGGTGCCGATAGGGGGCTGTGTGTACTGCAGATGGGGGGGCGGCGGCGGCAGAGAAAGGCAGGAGAGGAGCAGTGTATACAGTGAGTTACCGCTACTGAGAATGACAGCTCCTTCTCGGAGCTATAGTGAAGGGAAAAAAGCCGATCAATAGATTTAAAAAACGGCATTGTTTTTAAATGCAATAATCGGCTTTTTTTTTTTTCAGTATAGCTCCGAAAAGGAGCTGTCATTCTACCCGCGGCTAAAGGAAATAAAAGGGCGGAGTCACCCAGTGACATTACCCGGTGACCCCGCGCCTTAGTTTCCTTTAGCGGCGGAGAGAATGACAGCTCCTTCTTGGAGCTATAGTGAAGGGAGAAAAAAAGACGATAATTACATTTAAAAGCCGGCAGTGACATACAGGGGCAGCCAGTGAAGGAGCCTGAGTGCATACACTGCTCCCTCACAGTATACACTGCTCCTCTCCCCCTCCTTGCACACACCACCCCCCCTACAGAGCAGACCTGTCACTCATATGCGATCACATAGGGAATTGTTGGTCCCCTATATGATAGCAATAAAATAAGTTAAAAAAAAATAAAAATACACATTAAAGTTAAAAAAAAAATTTGAGCCTCCCCACATACGTAGACATTTTTGGTTTTCATCCATGTGCATTCTGAATTTTTAGTATCGGTTTCAGCACCAGAATTTTCATTTCGGTGCACTACTAGTTTTTATGCAGAGCTAAAAAACTCAGAAAAATTTTGTTATATAAAATATTTTAAGGGAAAAGCATTGTATCAAATCAAATTGTATAAAATACTTACCGTAATTTTCTTTTCCAGGTGCCAATCCATAACACCATACTACCACGTGTGCAGCCATGTTGGCGCCGGGAAAGTGTATTTTCAGTATGCCACATTTTAATTATTATTGAAGTACTGTATTACTATAAAGTAATCCTCATGTGACCTTCACATTTACATGCTTGTTCTTCAAATTATTATTGCATTCAAAATAGAAGTTTGTACACTAGTGGGAGCAAACATTCACTCGGCCTACCTTCAACTCCAGAAAACCTAAAATCTTGCTCCCCCATGATAAAGGTTGACTGCTCGTTTATGGCTATGGCACTTGATAAAGGACTTACCCGATGCTTTACTCCTACAGGCTCATCTGTGCTGCTTGGCCAGTCCCTGCAGCCTCTTCTACCCTATGCTCCGGTGGTCAAAGTTCCTCTGACGTCATCAAGACTGATAGGGGTATGTAAAATGGTTTTCCCAAACCCTAGACATAAACAAGCAGTTAACCCCTGCAGCACAGACACAGCCCCACTGCAAGGGAGGGACGTTAATGTACACCTCCTTCCAAAGCTTTTTTTTTTTTTAGCTCTGGATGGGATAGGTAAGGGTTAGTCCCCTTGTGATAGTAAAAAGGGTTAAAAAAAGTTTTAATTATTTGAAAATATACAAAAATAAACAAAATTATTTAAGAGACATTCCCCCCTACCAGGTGGTATGTTTTTTAGAGGTGTACTGGAGTAAATGCCACTAATGAGTGTTAGTAGGAGAAGGGTGCAGAAGGTATGACAGCTGCCAGTATGTGCTTGAAAGAGTATTGGTGGGATTATCTGTGGGCAGTTTGTGCATAAGGGCAATGCCAAGGGTATTAAGTGGTTCAGTATGCACAGGAGAAGAGTGCGGAGGGTATGATGGCAGACAATATGTGCAGAAGAGAAGTGTAAAGGATATGAGAGTGGGCAGTAGGTGCAGAAGATGAGTGCTTGAAGGTACAACAGGGAGCAGTATGCACAGGGGAAGAATGAAAAGGGTATGATGGCAGACAATGCATGCAGGAGAAAAGTGAAGAGGGTAGGAGAGAAGACAGTATATGCAGGATAGAACTGCAGAGGGTATGATGGTGGTTAGTATCTGCAGGAGAAGAGTGCAGAGGGTATGATAGCAGGCAATACAAAGTGGAGTAAAGTGTGCAGGGAATGGCAGCAGCCAGTACATTCAGGAAAGGAGAGTGGAGGGTACGATGGTGCCAGTATATACAGGAGAGAATTGCAAAGGGTATGGGGGTGGTTAGTATGTGCAGGAGAGAACTGTTGAGGGTACCAAGGCAGGCAGTACAAGGAGGAAAAAAAGGTGGACATTACGATGGAAGACAGTACATACAGAAGAGAAAATCTGAGGGTAAGACAGCACCAGTATGTGATACATTTAAACTTTACTATTAGTTTTCAATGCTAAAAAAAAAAAAAAAACAGAACTGAACTGTTTGTTGTGGCATTGCAGGAGGTTGTGGCATTCCAGGCTGACTGATTGCTATTTCATTATAAGAAACTCAGTAAAACTACAACATTACAGGCGATAAACAGTTGTGTTACAGTAGACTGGGTAACTGATGCTGTGTTACAGGAGACTAAATAACCAGAGCTATGCTACAGTAGACTGAGTAGTCTCTAACTAAATTAGAGTCTAGAGTATATAGCCTGTAAGTTACAAGAGAGAAGCCAGAGGGAAAGCTCTCTCTAGTCAGTGATCATACTAAAGTAGAGCAGGTGCATCATCCAACACACTCGGAAGTGTCAGTATGTCATCCAACACACCTGGAGGGTCAATCTGTCATCCAACACACCCGGAAGTGACGGTGCATCATCCAACACTTCTGGAGGGTCATGGTGTCATGAAACACATCCGGAAATAACAGTGTGTCATCCAAAACACTTCTGGAGGGTCATGGTGTCATGAAACACATCCGGAAATGACAGTGTGTCATCCAACACTTCTGGAGGGTCACGGTGTCATGCAACACACCAAAAAGTGGCAGTGCATCATCCACTTGCAAGTGTCAGCTTGTCATCCAACACACCCAGAAGTGTCAATATGTCATCCAACACACCCAGAAGTGTCAATACGTCATCCAACACACCCAGAAGTGTCAATATGTCATCCAACACACCCAGAAGTGTCAATACGTCATCCAACACACCCAGAAGTGTCAATACGTCATCCAACACACCCAGAAGAGTCAGTGTGTTATCTAACACACATGGAGGGTCAATCTGTCACCAACAACACACCCTCAGAAGTGTCAGTGTGTTATCCAAGACTCCTGGAGGGTCAATTCCTCATCCAACACACCCGGAAGGGACAGTGCATCATTCAACACCCTTGGAATTGTCAGTGTGTTGTCCAACACTCCTGGAGGGTCAGTTCCTCATCCGACAAACCTGGAAGTGTCAGTGCATCATCCAACACACCTAGAAGTGTCGGTGCATCATCTGACACTCCAGAAGGACAAATGTGTCAAACCACACACCCGGAAGGGAACGTGTCATCTGACAGACATGAAAGTGTCAGTGTTTCACCCAACACGCATGGAGGGTCCATGTGTCATCCAACGCACCCAAAAGTATCAGTGCATTATCCAACACACCCGGGAGTGTCAGTGCGTCATCCGATACACCTGGAGGGTCAATCTGTCACTCAACACACCCAGAAGTTACAGTGCATCATCCAACAATGACAATGCGTCATCCAGCACTCCTGGAGGGTCAATGTGTCATCCAACACACCTGGAAGGGATAGTGTATCATCCGACGCACCTGTGTCAGCGCGTCATCCGATACACCTGGAAGTGTCAGTGTGTCATCCAACACAACCAGAAGCGTCAGCACACCATCCGACACACTCAGAAGTGTCAGTGCATCATCAGAGATGCCTGGAGGGTCAATCTGTCATCGAACACACCCAGAAGTTACAGTGTGTCATCCAACAATGACAGTGCCTCATCAAACACTCCTGGAGGGTCAATGTGTCATCCAACACACCTGAAAGGGAGAGTGTGTCATCTGACGCACTTGTAAGTGTCAACACGTCATCCGATGCACCTGGACATGTCAACGCATAGTCCAACACAAGCAGAAGCGTCAGCATGTCATCTGACACACCCAGAAGCGTCAGCGCATCATCAGACACACCCAGAAGTGTCAGTGCGTCATCTGACACACCTGGAGCGTCAATCTGTCACCTAAAACACCCAGAAGTTACAGTGCATCATTCAACGACAGTGCATCATCCAACATTACTGGAGGGTCAATGTGTCATCCAACACACCTGGAAGGAATAGTGTGTCATTCGACGAATCTGGAAGTGCCAACCTGGAGGGTCAATATGTCGTCCAACACTTTCGGAAGTGTCAGTGTGTTTTCCAACACTCCTGGAAGGTCAATATATCATCCAACACACCCGAGAGGGACAGTGCATCATCCAACACCCTCAGAAGTGTCAGTGTGTTATCCAACACTCCCAGAGGGTCAATGCATCAGCAGACACACCTGAAGGGTCAATTCCTCATCCGACACACCTGGAGGGTCAAGCCTTTACACCCGGAAGGGACAGGGTTATCTGACACACCCGGAAGTGTCAGTGCGCCATCCACCACTTGTGGAGGGTCACTGTGTCATTTGACACAACCAGAAGCGTCAGTGCATCATCCGACACAACCAGAATCATCAGACACACCCAAAAGTGTCAGTGCCCCACCCAACACACCTGGAGGGTCAAT